CTAGCTGACAGCAGACTAACTGAAAGAAAAAGCTAGCATACTCAAACACTTGAACACCAAGTTACACAAAGCAAAACAAATATAGGCTTTTGACTAGTGCCATGTCTTCTAAATTTCACCTGGATGCAGGGTACAGGCACTAATTTGAATAGGGTAAGTCAGTACAGATATCTGTTTGATAAATACTGAAAAAACTGTGCTGAAATATCATCTATTGTATAGGCAGTCGTTCTTTGCTTCAGTCTAAATAATCACTTGCTACCAGGTATATTTTCCTTATATGTTTAAGCAGAAGACTGGTTTATAGTCTGTTTCAGAAACAGCGACTTCTAAATAACCTGAGTGAAAAATGTGAGAAAGTTTATGGAACAGCACCAAGGAATTTCCCATCACAAATCTCAGACTCAAATACCACACCAATTCTCTGCTCTTCGCCTCGATTTCTGTCAAGTCCTTAAAAATTATTTAAGTCTGTTTCTGCTCTTGGAAATTCTCAGGGGGAGCATCATGTTGCAATGCTCAGGAAAATCCTGAAACATAAGAAAATACATATGAAAATCAGGGAACTCTGTATATTTGTTCTGAATCTCAGCTAGGCCGCATTTGCTAACTACATCCTCTCCCCTCATTCTGGGCACTCCCTACAGTCTTTCCTTCCTTAAGCCACCCTAAAGCCTCACGGCAGTAAGCGAAGCAGCTTAGCAGTCCCAAGCAGTCCCACAAGACGCTAAGCGCACCAGCATTACGCAACGCTAGCGAGCTGCACGCATTTAACCTTCACAGGTCTGAGGACATTACCTGCCAAAATCCACTGCCGCTACCACCGCGTGCCACCTGCCTACTCAAGGGTGCAAAAGGGAACATTAAAAACACAGAGCAGCGACAGCTTAACACACCAGCAGCACGCAGTGACCTCCTGAAGCTCCCAGAGACTAAACACGGAGGGGCGGGAACATAATCATACAGAAAGTTTTAAGTAAGACTCAGCAGCTCGGGGCAGAGGTACGCTTTTCAAACCAAGCAACTTGTGTAGATGGTAAAAACGACCCACCATAACATCGTTACTTCTCTGTTGCAGTAAAGAAATACGGCACACCATGGAAAACTTTCCGGAAGGCTATTAATCTCAGTGGTACACCAAACGTTTTCAGTAAGAAAAAAGAAAAAAAGCCCTATGTTTTTCTCATTATCATACAGAATTTGGCTAGATCCCTGGACAGTAGAAATAACAATGATTTATAAACAAACCGTAGAACCAGAGAGGCAGAAAAATGCAGAAAATCTCTCAGGCAACAACTGCAGCAAAAAAGCGCGAAGGCACCAAGTCAGCGCCTTTGGTACTAGCACTTTGGCACTGGGAAAAGGGACTAAATTAGAGTGGGTGTATTGCAGGTTCTTATTTAGGTGCTCACAACAGGAAAAAAAAAAAAAAACAACAGGAAAAAAAAAATTGAAGCTTGGTAATGCTTTAAATGACATCCAGTAAACCTCACGCTCAGTTAACAAAAAAAAGCGCTGAAATAGGGGAAAATTATCTAGAAACTGGGAAAAAAAATGGAATAACCAGGTATTGAGTTCACTGAGCATAAAATATCCACGTACCCAGTTATTGAAACTTTCAAAATAGCCATTTTGGAGGGCCAATCTCTATTAGCAGCCTGCTCTCGTCCCTCAGTACTGCATTACTGGGAGAGCGGGGAAGGAAGAACATCCCCTAGCACCCAGAGGCCAACCTGAGCACTGCCCGTGCCTGCCTGATACAGAACTGAGTCAGGGGTGCTGTAAATTTAAATAACATCTGTAGTTAAAAGCAGACATTAAAAAGTTAACTTAGTCAAGCCATTACATCAAATAGGGGGGGGAAAAATGTTGGCACAATACAGTAGTTTTTGGTTAAGTTTCTGCTGTAGTGTGCCAGATGTATTAAAAGCAACTATTTTCAAAGTTCAGAAAGTGTAAAGTTTGCATTTTGCCTTTTTTCCAACACATACAAAAAGTCTTCAGTGGGCAGCTTTTTTCCTAAAAGTTTTGTTTTACTAACTAAATTAGTTAAACAGCCCGCATCCATCTACTTAAGACTAAAACTAGCCTTCTGACATCCCTCTCTATGCACGCTAGAAAAAATGCCAGTCAGGAAGGATGTAGGCGTCCTCAAATCACCCCGTCGGGACTCTTGCTGGAGCAGGTGGACATAGGGTGCCGCACTGCGGAGGAGGAGGCGACA